CGACCTGCTGGGCTCCGGCGATCCTTCCGCCTCAGCCTTCCAAGTAGCTGGAATTACAGGCATGTGCTACCACGCCCAGCTGATTTTTTGATTTATTGTAGAGATGAGGTCTCGCTGCCCAGGCGGGTCTCGAACCCGCAGGCTCAGGCAATCCACTCACCTCAGCCCAAAACAGCATTTAAACTCATCAATTTTGATGCCTTTCAGTGCTTCTGCTGTCGTTTTACCTCTTCCACATTGGCAAAATGCTTTCTTTTGAGAACTTTTTAAATGGGGGAGTTGAAGAGGGAAGTCTCTCAGGGCGAGACTGGGTAAAGAGGGAGAGTGGGGCATGGGGATCCTACCATTTTTGGTCAAAAACTGCTGAACATTCAGCGTGATGTGGGCAGGTGCACTGTCATGATGGAAAAAAATTACCCATCACGTGATGGGCAAACATGTTGTAAGAATCTCCAAAAAAAAAAATTTGCTAAAGCCGAATGCAGTCTCTCACAACACTTGCTAGTACACTGATGCTGATGGGTTCCTAGATCACTTACCTAGTGGTGGAAGCCTGTACTACAAGGGGCCTGCCCTACAAAAAATAATTCCATTTTTTTTGGGGGGAGGGGTCTCCATCGTATACCCTTCCAAGGGGTGAAAATATTTGTGGTTTAAACAGTATTAAATAGAGAACACACTGATACTTACATGTTTTTTAAACCACCATCTACAGCTGGGTTTATTTATGGTGACCTTTCTGAAGACCATAGTGAGACACAGATTGGACAAGTATGCATATACTTATAGGACAATACATCAGGATATCTGAAAGCAGGTAGTTCAGTTTGACAACTGATTAACCCAGTTTTGTATAACCTGCTTTCTTTTTGAATATTTTGAAGATAAACTTTGCATAATGGATCCTTTTGACTTTAAGAGAGAAGGGAGCACAATACTAGCAAAAGACTTTTCCTATTTTGTATCATGTAACACGAGTGGTGTATGGCCAAGCAGGTGCATAACTTAATGGCTATTATAGTACCTAGTAAAATACTACAAGTCAGCTCTTAAATTCTCCTGTCATTTATAATGCTAGCATTTACAAATGACATACTCAAAATTGTATAGAAAGAGACTAACTGTGGCATAGTTCAATCAGGCTATGTATTTAAAAAAGGAGACCTGCCAGTCATGGTGGCTCAAGCCTGTAATTCCAGCACTTTGGGAAGCTGAGGAGAGAGGATTGCCTGAGCTTAGGGGTTTGAGACCAGCCAGGGCAACTTGGCGAGACCTCATCTCTACAATAAATCAAAAAATTAGCTGGGCGTGGTGGTGCATGCGTGTAATTCCAGCTACTTGGAAAGTCTGAGATGGAAGGATCGCCTGAGCCCAATAGATCGAGGCTGTGATGGCCGAGAGCATGCTACTACACTCCAGCCTGGGCGACAGAGTGAGACTTCGAATAAAAAAAAAAAAGAGACCTTAGATTACATATATACACATATATACAAACATACATGCATATATACATATATACATACACACACATACACAAGTGTGTGTGTGTATATGTATGTGTGTGTATATATAGATATGACTTACTAGTTTAGTTCAAAATGTATATTTCTGGGACAAATCTTAAGGAGTTAGGAAAGACTGATCTCATATGCATTACCTCAAACTGGATACTATGACATTTCAATAAACATCTTTTACATTATCAGAAAAATGACTTTTCCCAGAGAGGATCTGACTGTTTCATAGTCTAGACTAACTGCCTAAATCAACAGTCACTGAAATAATACTACTTTCTTATCAGTATCTACACTTGCAGCCTATCAGCAACTGATGGCACTCTTCTTGCTGTCCTCCCCTCCCCATTTCACCCCTATGGCTGATTGCCAGTACCTAATCTTTTTCCTGCCTCATCTTCCATTAGGTCTCCTTTTAATCTAAAACATACTGGCTAGAAATGGAAACTTTTTTGTAGTTTTCTCTTTGACTTTTAGTTTCAACTTCCATTCACTCAGACCTGCTATATAACCTGTACTTATTTACTCTTCCTGTGTTTTCCCTTCCTGGCTTAAAGGAACTAAGTTACTGCCTTTGTGGTCACTGGGTGGCCAGGTTATTTTGGACTATGAGGGTTGGGGGCAGGGTTAGGCTGTGGAGGTAGCTGAAATAAATGACATGGCTGAAGTTAATCTTTGGTTTTCAAGTCTCGTATGTATTGCAATCATTCTCACTAGGAACAGTATGTGTGTACCCAGCATATCATCTGATGTTAATTATTTGAAACAATTGAAACACATCATCGTTCTTTGAGGGATAGCATTTCTTTTTACTCTTGGTTTCAAATTTTAAAAATTACATGTCTGTATTTTGAATTAGGTGAAGGGGTTGAGAAAGGTCACTTTTCTTCTTTTATATTTCAAAAACAAACCAACTCTAAGTCTGTAAGTTTCAGGTACAATAACAGTCTCAAAACCGCCATGACATAACTAGAAACAGTTCTGCCAGATTAAAGATAGAGTGGAAAAGCTGTAACTATTAGAAAGCAGAAATATTTTTCTGAAATAACAGGCTACCTTGGGAAGTTATCAGCTATGAGTTTTAGAACCAAAGAACTTTGGCTATAAGGAGGGGCTGTGTGCACGGGTAACAGATAAGGCAGAGAAAAGCTGTTATCAGTCCAGAGTAGCAAGTCGACCAACTCAGAGAGCAAGCTAAGAGGTCCACCACAGACATTGGTTTTTTTTTTTTTTTTTTGAGTTGGAGTCTCACTCTGTCACCCAGACTGGAGTGCAGTGGCCGCTCCCGGCCACCGCAGCCTCGACCTGCTGGGCTCTGGTGATCCTCCCGCCTCAGCCTTCCAAGTAGCCGGAATTACAGGCGCGTGCTACCACGCCCGGCTGATTTTTTGATTTATTGCAGAGATGAGGTCTCGCTGCCCAGGCGGGTCTTGAACCCGTGGGCTCAGGCAATCCACTCACCTCAGCCTCCCAAAGGCACGGGATTACAGGCTGAGCCACCGAGCCCGGCTGACATTGGTTTTAATGAAGTGACTTGAGGTTCCCCCTTTCTTCGAGCATTCCAGGAGTCAGATGGAGGAAGACAGGCTATCATCATCTATATCAAGTATCTGCAAAGGTTATGCAGATAGCTGGGAAGGCCTTTTCATGGTGAATGGAAGAGCTATCACACACAACTGAAGAACTGATTCTCACATTTAGGTCTTGAATGAACTTAGACCTTGATCTGCTTCCAGATGGTTGCTCTCTTTAATTATGTAGGCTGTGCAACAAGTTTTTACTTCTATTCTATAGTTTTCTTCCTCGCATTCCTCTACACAGCATATATTCTTGATTTGTTTTCAGAATACTGCTTCTTCTTCTTCAGTATAAGTCAATGCGTATAAGGGAGAAAATGGAATTTAATTTTATACCAATAAGAAAAGTCTTACTTGAATCTCATATGTAATAAGTGTTCAGATAAATTGGTTGTAAGGTTTTGGTGTATAGTTTCAAGACATAGTCACAGAACATATTGCTCTCAAGTCAAAGGTGAAGTGAAATTTTCCATTAGGATAATGCAGAGGACAATATTCTTTTAGGAAAAAAAAAAAGAATACTAAGCTTTCCTCTACCAGGCATCTTCCCTCAGGCCTGAGATTGCAGCCATCCAACAAACGGGAAAGGGCAAAAAGAGGAGACTTCGAAAGTCACAAATGTATTCCATGGCTACTTTTTAGCAAGTCTGGCAATGAGATCTTTCCACTCTTCCCTCTTTCTTGTGATGTATGTAGGGGTGAGTAGCTGCAGCAGTGATTCTGTCTGCTGCCTGAAGAAGTTCTGACACAAGGCCTCAGTGTTACATATCACATACATCCCACAGTCGTAGCTGTTTTGTTGAGCAGGGGCTTTCTCTTCCACAAAGACCAGTTTGTCTCCTTTGCTGCCTAAGAAAGCCTCCAGTTTTTTTGCTACCTGCTTTGCATGGACTGAGTTGCTCCTGCTATGGGAATCATAATGAAAAAAGCTATTTTTATCTTGGAGATAAACCAACAAACTCCAGTGGGTTCCCCCGGCTGCATGGTTAGAGTTGTCATTAATGGCTAAAAATACAACTCTCTTGTGGGGGAGGTCCAGTGGCTCAAGGAACATGGCGATCTCTGCTGGGTTGCTAGTACACTTGATGAACTGGGTGACTTCAGGGCTGATGAAGCAGACATGGTCTGAGTAGTCATGAAACTGATTGTTGGCAAAGTACTCAAAGGCAAACCCAATAATATGGTCATTGAGCCAGCTTGGAGGATCCAATAGAGATACATCCGATTGCCGCAGTAGACTGTCCATGTAACTCAAGACCACAGGGTCCATCTTGTACTGATCAGGGCTGCAGAAATTCCAGAAGCTGAAGGAGAGGCAGAAGACAATATTTACTGTTGAATATAATACCTGGCTATAAAATGGGGCTATAAAATAGTAGCTACTCTTACAAGGTTGTGGTAAAGAAGATAGTTGGCCCTTGGACAACATGGATTTGATCCGTGTAGAGCCACTTGTACATGAATTTTTTTCCACCTCTGCCACCCAGGACAGCAAGACAAACCCCTTCTCTTCCTCCTTTTTCTCCTCCTCCTTTTCAGCCTATTCAACATGATGAGAATGAAGACCTTTAGGATGTCATTTCCAGTTAATGAACAGTATATAGGTTCTCTCTTCTTTATGATTTTCTTTTCTTTTTTTTTGAGTTGGAGTCTTACTCTGTAACCCAGATTGGAGGGCCGTGGCATGCTCTCGGCCACCGCAGACTCGACCTTCCGTTTCAGCCTTCCAAGTAGCTGGAACTACAAGCATGCCCCATCATGCCCGGCTTATTTTTTGATTTCTTGTAGAGACGAGGTCTCACCAAGTTGCCCAGACTGGTCTAGAACCCCTGAATTTAGGCAATCCTTTCACCTCGGTCTCCCAAAGTGCTGGGATTACAGACTTGAGCCACCGTGTCCAGCATTTATGATTTTCTTTTTTTTTTTGAGTTGGAGTCTCATTCTGTTGCCCAGACTGGAGTACAGTGGCCACTCCTGGCCACCGCAGCCTCGACTTGCTGGGCTCCGGCGATCCTTCCGCCTCAGCCTTCCAAGTAGCCGGAATTACAGGCATGTGCTACCACGTCCGGCTGATTTTTGATTTATTGTAGAGATGAGGTCTTGCTGCCCAGGCGGGTCTCGAACCCGTGGGCTCAGGCAATCCACTCATCTCAGCCTCCCAAAGGCGTGGGATTACAGGCTGAGCGACTGAGTCCGGCTTATGATTTTCTTAATAACATGTTCTTTTCTGTAGCTTACTTTATTGTAATACATATATCATACAAAATGTGCTAATTGACTGTGTTATCAGTAAGGGTTCCAGTCAACAGTAGGCTCTTGGTAGTTACGCTTTTAGAGAGTCAAAAGTTATACTAGAATTTTTAACTGTGCAGGAGGTTGGCACTTCTAACCCCTGCTTTGTTCATGGATCAACTGTAATTGTAAGAAATTCTAGCTTATGTGCTGCATGGAAACAATTAGTTAGAATGAAAACTTTGGAAATTTTCTAAGCAGAAAGCATGAATTTAAAATTTCCCCCTTTAAATGCAGAGATTAGTTAAAACTATGGTTAATGTTTTACCAAACACCATAGCATTAACCATATTATTTGGTTCTTTAATGAATGTGCATGACAACAATAGCAAATTATTTTTATATTAAAGATGAATTTCAAACAGTCAAAATAAAATAATTTCTAATTACTAAGGGAAATAGTTTTCATTTCAACATTAATTTTCAAGAGATAAGATAAAATATTGCTTCCTTCCTCCATAATGGAACGTGACAGCAATTAGGGTTGTAGTTAAAAGGAACTGTAATTTTAAGAACAGGAAACTATGAGAGTAATACAAATGAAATTCATTACTGCTTCTGCCCAGCTATGAGCATGATTGATATGATGTTACCTATTTCCCATCTTTAACCTCAAGGGAAAAGATAAAGATGATGTAATGTCTATGAATTAGAAATTCTTTTCCTTTTTAAAGGGAGTATATGGCAAATGAATCAGGAGACCGGGTCAAGCTCCAGTTTTACCACTGATTTGCTGGCATTGGCTTGAGTAGTCACTTAAATGATTCTGTCCTTGTTTCTGTCATCTGCTACAAAAGGCATATGCCTGCCTTACAAACCTCAGAGAGCTGTAGAGAAGACCAACTAATTTTACTTGACAGTACTAAAAGAGTTTTAAAAATTGTACAAATAATGTTATCAATTAGATGATATTAATAAGATAATCAGAAAATCCAGATAGAGCTCTAAAGCAATCAAAGCAAATGAGGTTTAGAAACAAATATCCATGATCTTGTCCAAAGAACAGAATGGCTAACAGAGTAGCAGAAAGCAAGAGGTACGATGAGATTAATATGCTTGTGATCATCCAAAGTAGGGTGTTAACAGAGAACAAAAAGTCTGATGGGTATAGAAGATGACATAATATTTGAGCCTAACAGATTCAACAGAGAGTTAACTGTTATGTACTAACCTTGCAGCACACAGTATTTCTAAAAATCACACAGCAATAAACTGTCATATGCAGATTGGAAGCTCAAAATGAAACACATTGTAAGAAAACAGTAAGAATGCTATAGAAGACAAGGCGAGAAGGCAACCCCCTCGGGTCCCTTCCCACTGTGGAAGCTTTTCTGTCCTCTCAATTATCCTGCTTAAAAAAAAAAAAA